AGTGTTCTGTACAATGGCATGAGCACTTCCCTCTTTCTACTGCTAATACCTCTCCCTATACAACCAAGCATTCTGCTAGCATTTCCTGCTGCTCTATTACATTGTCTGCCTACCTTTAAGTCATCAGAAATATTCACCCCTAAGTCCCTTTCCCCAGATGTTGAGGTTAGGACTCTATCAAATATTCTGTACTCTGTCCTTGGGTTTTTACATCCAAGATGCATTATCTTGCACTTATCCACATTAAATGTTAGTTGCCACAACTCTGACCATTTTTCTAGTTTACCTAAATCATTTGCCATTTGTCTTATCCCTCCTGGAACATCAACCCTGTTACATATCTTAGTATCATCAACAAAAAGACATACCTTACCATCAAGTCCTTCTGCAATATCACTAATAAAAATATTAAAGAGAATGGGTCCAAGTACAGATCCCTGAGGAAAACAAAATGGCGAAGCAGAAAACAAAGCGGCGAAGAGCCGTGAAATAAAATGAAACACCTGCATAATATCGTGTAGGTTCCCCTTCGTGCTCCCAAAACAGCTCTGATGCATCAAAGCATGGACTCCGCAAGACCTCTGAAGGAGTCCTGTGGTATCTGGCACCAAGACATTAGCAGTAGATCCTTTAAAGAGACACTATAAATAATTGAGCAATGAGACTGCAGGGGCATAATCTAAACCCAAAAACTTTTTTGAGCTAATGTTATTTTGTGACTATAGTGTCCCTTTGGTACTGGGAACTTGAAAAAAGACTTTACTTTTACAATGCTCACTTATCATATTCACAAAGGATCCTTTAGGGCGACTTCCCTTGTATGATCCGGATGATTTTCTTCCCATAAAACTATAATTGTAGGGAATCCCAATTATTAATAGGCACACTTTTGTTTGGTAACCACAAAAAAAAATTAGAATGGCTTACCTATGTGTCTTGTGGTGTGATCTTTTTTTCTGGGAGCAGAGGGATCTGACTCCATAACTGCATAAGATTCCTTTTTTATCCTTATCAAAGCAAATCTCTACTTAAAGAGCAGAGATTGAATGGTACATAAAAAGATGTAATATAACTTTAATATGGGGAAAAACAAAAAATATGAAAAATAGTGCTTTTGGTGCTTGGAAGGGGAAGCTAACACAACACTGCAACCGTACTAACATTACAGAATACACGGCATGGTGCGATCGTTCAGTTCCCGCCTGTGCATTCTCATGGATTTTAACACCACGAAACCCTAGAGCTGAAAACAAAGCGACAAAGAGCCGTGAAACAAAATGAAAGATTGGAATAGAAAAACAGCGGCGAATAGCCGAGAATGCCCATTACCAAGTACAGAGGCATAGAGATAAGTTAATAAAGCGGCAAATAGCCGTTAATGCCTAAAACCAAACATAGAGGCATGGGATATTGTAATAAAAGTGGCGGATAGCCGAGAATGCATAAGAGAAATCAGCGAATAAAGCGGAGAATAACCACACATATTGTACAAGTCACAGAGGCATAGAAAATGTGAATAAAACTGCGAATAGCCAGGAATACAAAGAGAATAAGTGATATTTAACCAAGAAAGGTACAGTCAGGTATTCTCTGGTTACCCAAATAAATCATTCTAATTTAATCTACCTCCAACGGATGACCTTCTGGGAATTCAGCCTGCGACCCCAATAGATGAACAGTTTCTGATGGTGAATTAGCTCACTGAGCTATCTGCCCAGAATTGGGTAAATCCAGCGACTATACAAAAGACATAACAGAGACCTAGGAATAAGAGAATCCAATGGCTTTATTAAAAAGGCACAACCGAGACCTAGGAAAAGTGAAACCAGTGGCTGTATTAAAAGCCATAAAGGCCCAGGAATAAGAAAATCCAGCTGATATATTAAAAGGCATAACAGAGGCCTAGTTATAAGAGAATCCAGCGGCTGTATTAAAAAGCATAACAGAGGCCTAGGAATAAGAGAATCCAGCGGCTGTATACTATGAAAAGTATATCTAAAAATATTAGGTCAAGGCCATAACACCTTTAAAGTTAAAATCTTGCTTTTAAAGTTCACCTACCATTGTAAAAATGCTTTCTAAAACTACGCTACATTTTGAGAATTACCATTTAATAACCTCTGGGCTGTAATGAAAGATATGGGGCAAGATCATGAAAATCCCTGTCTTAATGCCAAGCGTATGTATCTTGATGTGTTCCTTGGAGGGACCGTTGGTGTTCACATTAAGAGATTTGATAATGAAACATCAAGCAATTCACAACACTGAGCATATCATGCTCCATTATCTTTTACTTTCATTATTTCTTTCTCTTCTAGCTATTTTTTCCCCCAGAAAAAGCTGTTTCTCTTTAACACTATGCCCAGTGTTTTTTTTTCTTTTTTTTTTTAAAAAAACCCCCAAAACTGGGTCTTGAAGAATAATATAAAATTCATCATACAAACATTGACCAAAAAAAAATCAATAGAACCACAGGGATGCAGGAGATACATACAAGCAAATATATATTGGAAATTGCGTATCAAATAATGTAATATCCTGAAAGACAAAAAAAATAAAATAAAAAGGAAAAATAATGAAAGGCCTCTTATGGAGGTGTGTTATCTCAGCCCCAAATAAATCAGAATTTTAATTTCAAGAAAAGGAAAAAAGAGGAAATTTGAGGGTGTCAGGCAATAGAAAAAAAAAGTGCATGCTGTTAACTCGTACGTTATGCATCAAGGTCAGAGTGGTGACCCACAAACACCATTAAAACACGAGTTGAAATCCCTTTTTGATCTATTTATATCTCTCATTTTATTGCGGACCATAAATTTATCTGTATTTAATAAAGCGTTGGTGTGCATTCCTATTGTTTAGATTTGTAATATTTCCTTTTGTTCTTTGTAAAACCAATAAAAAAAAGTATACAACCGAAAAAAACTAAGGTTTTCATAACATGATTAAAAGTTTTTATTGTCTTTTAGTTATTCAAGCATGCTGACGACTTTGCATGTATTTGCTGATGATATGATAGCATTAAACCTACCAGTGATTCATTTTCCATATAATTAGATGTAAACTGTTTGTTTAATTAGGAACACTTGCATTTGCCCTTGCTTTGATATAAAGTCACATTATCCACATTGAGGCCTCGTAAATATTCCAGCATGCCGTTATCTCTGGATAATAAAATATAATTGGAATAAAATGCATCAGTATGTCTGTATATCAAATAATAAACAGCAGAAACAAACACACAGAATGCACCCACTTACATTGCCGATTTTACAGCCAAGGGCCTGTTGCGTAGACTAGCTATATAATAGCAAATTATGATCAAACCTCATTCTTTCGGGTTAAAAAAAATCCCTTGACCAATAATATTGCCTGACCCCCTTTGTTAGAATGCAAGAAGGACGTTCAATTTGTTTATGACAGTTGGTACCAAGTTGGACCTCTGTAGATATATAACACATTTAATTTTCCCATCCTCAGTTCAATTGTCTGTTTTAAATTCAGACGTTTATCCATTTTCCCTAATATAAAGTGTAGCTCAATGTGCTCCTTGTAATACAGCCTTCAGAAACGAACTTAACAAATAAATAGTGTTTCTCATAGGGATAATTTAATACATGATTATTTTATCTTTATATTGTAACACGATAAGGATATCATTTTCATTAAACATGTTACAAGGAAAATATGTCGACAAACATCATGAATTCTAAACTATAATGATTAGAACATTCTAAATAATAAAATTACCAGTTTAAACCAAAAACGTTGGACTCACCATATGAACAACTTTAAGGTTGGGCTTTTAAAGGGACACTACAGTCATTAAAACAACTGTAGTTTAATGATGCCGTTTTTGTGTATAGATAATAGTTCTGAAGTCTCACTGCTTAACATCAGATGGAAGCAATCTGTTTTATATTGTTAGAAGGCTTTTTTTGTTCTTTTACTGATGATAATTATATACCTTGAAATATATGTCCCTGATTCTTCTTTGTAACACAACCTTTGTGTGACTCTTCGTGATCAACAGGGGACATTTCATCCAAATAGATAGGCTTTAATTAGGAAACCAAAGCTCACTCCTACTTGATGATAGTTTTTTTGTATTTTATTTTTTTTAAACAGGGTTTTTCTCTCTTTTTTTTTTTCCAAATAAGATCAGCTTCATTGAAGTCAAAGAAAAACAAGATAGTGAAAAAATAAGATAGTCAAAAGAAACAAATGATCCATTATTTAACAAGAGTTTGAAACTGCACAAAGACAATGTATCTTTAGACCTGAGCTCGAAATGTTATAAAATAAATGACCACTGGAACACATAAATAAGTGAAATATAAGTTGTTTTCTTTGTTTCTGTTATTCTGGTATTGACGATTTTACACCGCAGCCTACATAAATTCTCTAGAAAAATATGCCAATTTGTACACACTAGCCAACAAAAATCTTTATTCTTTTTCAAAGAGCTTTATTGTACAGCAGCGTAGTTTGAGCTAGCATTCAGCACACAGACAAAGGGTATAGGAAGCAGGAAATAGACCAGTTTATATATTACTCACAAAGGGTCTGAATTCCCTCGATACCAAGCGATTTTCAAAAACAAACGACAGCTGGAATTCATTTTTCTCATATACCAGAAATGATAATGTAAATATATTTCTTCAAGTCATTGCACATATCACATTTTTTATATCATTTTTATTGCTGTTTTATCAATGAGTGTATACAGGCATACCCTACTTTACGTACCCTCACTTTACGTTAAGAAGATGTGCATGATGGGGTTGAGCTCACTGAACAGCTTGAAGGCTTAACTACAAAAATTCTCAAAAAATTAAGCTTTCCGTCATCTTGATAGCGCCATGGCTCTTTTTGAAAAGCATGATAGGGATTTTGAACGAAGTTCCAAAGTCAATGCTAACATTTCAGGGGCTGATACCTGTTATAAAGAAATCTACAGGGAAAAGAAGACCGTTACACTTTAAACCACCATAGACACTTACTTTTCTAAATGTCCATTAGCAAACAGATCATCGACATTGACCAAATCATCCTCAACTGACAGTCCATTTCCAGCTCTGACATCACCATCACGTCCTGTTCCTACTCTGATTGCTTCTTGTAGTACACCCAATTCACTAGCAAGATAGCGTCTCACTTTTGAAGATTTGACGTGTGAAACACAAGATACCTGTATCCCTTCATCCTTCCTACTACAATAAATTCCCTCAGTTGACCTGGCCTTGCGACAACTCAAATAGGATAAGCTTACAATTTTTCTTTTAATATTGTGTTTATTTTAGTTATGCCTGTAAATGACTATTGCAATGCAGTACATGCTGTAACGGATCACCTGGCACCCCGACTGGGTACCTCCGTTGAAGGATGCTCCTAGCGCTTCCTGAGGACTCAAAGCACTGCAGCAGACACCACAACCACCGAACCGGAGAAGCATATGAATGCTCTCAAGCATATGAATGTTGTATACAGCCGAATAGGAAAAAACATGCGAATAGGTTTACACTCCTAGCAGTCAAACTGGAACAGCATACAATAAATCCTCCCCCAATAATGAGACGACACTTCACTTTGAGGGTTAAGCAGGAACTGACTGTACTGGCACATACAGCCTCTTTTATTCCCAATCCACAAACTTAGTACTGCCCACAGGGTTTTACAGAACAACCAATCAATCTGTACAATACACACAGACACTCCCACACAAAATCCTCCCCTCTGCCTGTGATATGATTACTGAACACAATGGTTAATCTAATTATCACAGGCAGAGAAATACAGTATCATAAAACACATCACAGAGACCCCAAAACATGCAATAACCCCATAAAAAGTATATCCTTGGAATCGGGGGATCTGCGTGAACCACATATCCCCAAAAAATTCACCCAGATCCGTTCAGTACTTTGGAAGATACAGTTTAATGTAGATTCCACAGAACATATACAGGCTAAATGAAAAATAATTACTGTATAATGTGTCCCCTGTTGTATAGTCCAAAACCACTGCACGATGTCTCTGTGCACCAAATACTGGCGAGATGGCACCGTGTTGAAAAGTCCAAACAGTGTCTGTGAGTTAAAATGACCGCCATCCATTGTTCTCACCATGTGCTTCTGATACAGGAAATGGTGGCCACCCAGTAACTCCACAGTATGTCCCCAGATGGTTCTTAAAGGGCCAGCAGCAGCACAACACAAATCCATTATGCCCAAATCATGTCTTTAAAGGGCAATACATCCCAGGGGCCATAGTCACATGGCAGGAGGCTGGCAATCAGTCTTCTCCAATGCCCAGTGGCAAGGTCAGTTTCGCCACACATGCATTGGGAAGTAAAAAAAGGTATTGCTTCACTTTAAGTACATTTTCGTTTTACAAACATGCTCTGGTCCCATTGTGTACTTAACAGTGGGGTATGCCTGTATTAAGCAGTCTCGAGAAGGAAACAATTGTGTGTCAAAGAGAGAAGGGGGGAAGGGTACGTCAAGATGGCATGTCTTCCCATGGTACGGTGCCACACCTGTAAGGTGGCCCTTGTAAACATGGAGCATTTCCTCTCCCTCCCCTCCCTCCCCGCCGGTAACCATGGCAACAAAGCTACGGGTTCACATAGCACATTTTAAAGGAGAATTAAAAAAAAAAAATCTTATGGCAGAAAAGCAAAAATAAAATAATTACTTTAGAGAATATAGAATACTGTGCTCCAAATGTATGGTGCAAGAGGTTCAGTGTGACACATGTCATCAACCTTTCATATTTTCAAGAATTCAAGCAAACTACAAAATAGAAAAAAGTATGAATCTGAAAAGACTCAATAATAATAAATAAATAAAAAATCACCAATCCACAAAAACATTGTGCTGCAGCAGAGTACATCAATCATTGTAGCTTTATTAGCATGAACAACCTCAGAACGTGGAACTGATCCAGAGGGGGGGAGCTAAAACCAAACGAGTTTCAGATTCAAAGGTCATTACTCATAGTGGGAACCAGTGATATCGGGGTAGTTTGGGGCAGCAGTCTTCTTAAACAAGATATGGCCCTATGGCGTAGCTAAATCCCCTTATTTATTTTTTTTACAAGATATTCTATTTTAAGTAGCATTGTATGACTTAAAACTGTATTTTTGGTTGTGCACTGTTCTCTTAATATGTATTTTTCATATATTTTGGTCTTTGCCACAATACATGTTCATGGTATTAAGACATACATGTTAATGGTGTTCCCCCCATTTCCCTGTTATATATGGAGTCATGAAAAGGCTGACTCTCATTGCATTTCACTTCCCCTTACATGATTACAAGGGCACTATGATCACATTTTTTTTTTTTGGTGTTAACCTTTATTTTGAGCTGTGCATAGAATTATAAGACAAGCTTGTGATGCCACAACAACAAACTCTAGTAACAGACAAAATATAACAGTGGCATGGCAGTTAGAATAAGTACACATTTTTAAACATATTAAGAATATTCACAGTGGTAATGGTAGTGTGAGCTCAAACACTCCCATGGGGGATCCCCCTAAACCCACACCTTAAACACAAGTAAATTAAATATAATAAATTCATGAGTATACTAAAATAGATTTTCTGTAAAATATAACAGAAATAAAATCCAATAGTGCAAATACATTATAACAATGTGAGTATAAAAGAGACGGTAAGAAGCGCTCATAAAGGTGGGCCCAAAATTATCACTTGGCTCTGGTGTATAACGCTTTTGGATCTTAAGGGAGATACAACACCCTCTTCTTGTTTCTCACAGAGGACTGGTAGATGGTTCAGCCAGGACGATGTAAGACTCCACATGAAAAGTAGTGATGAACTATTTATTGCATCAAAGTTATAAGATGAACAAATAAATACTAGAAATAAAAAAAAAAACAATTGGGTATAAAGTCCTACAAACAGCAGACTCACAAAACACGTTTCACCAGGTTTGGCTATTGTTATAATTTATTTGTACTATTGTTTATGTTTCTGCTATATTTTACAGAACATCTACGTGGCAAACTACCCTAGAACCCTTTTTATTTTTCCTTAATCCCAAGTTGTTTCCCCTTTGGTTCGGTACTTTTATCTATGGAGCACACACCACCCCCCCGGCTCGTTATCTTCAAAACAAACTCAAACGTAAGTCCTCTCCCTGGGTGGCTGCCACTCGTATTACCAAAGAACAAGTGCTCTGGAAAATTGCGGCCATCTTGTCTCCCAAATGCAGGCAGGGGTACTAAGTTGTCGAGTGCCTGGAACTCAAAGACGGATACTTGAACTTGTGAAGTTCTGTCACTCTGTACCAACGCCTGCTTCTGTTCCTGACAAGCCAAGAGATTGCTGTTCGGTGAAAAGGTTCATACAAACAAGGTGAACATTCACTACCCACGAGCCAGGGGAATCATTCATATATTTTCATATAGGAACTCCCGAAGACTGACCGACTGCTACCACTTTTTTTATGGAACTAATTTGCAGATGCCACGTGTGTGGTCGGTCAAAACTTTACTCCGGTGGTGATTTGGCTGTATATTTGGCATCTGATCGCTATTTGGACAACTTGGGCGCTCAGATCCAAGCTATCCGGGGATATAAGACTTGTGGGGATTCCGATTACTATTATGTGTGCTTTGGGGTGTTTTATATTTTATTCCTTGTACCTCTAGTGCCTGGGAGATGATTAGTTTAAGCAGAGCAAACTCACTTATCTCCAAGACACAGAGACGCCTGGGCGTGTTGTTCCTATATTTTGGCTTGAGACTCCATGCTGGGAGTCTGTGTATAAAAGTGGGACATCTGGTCATAATAAAACATTCCTGTTGTACCTTTCATCAAGTCTCGACTGATGTTTGGGTATGTGACAACTGAGAGCTATTAATCAGATGACCTTGCAGGATTTCAGGAGATTGCGAACGAATGTATCACTCAGGATACCGGAGGTTCGTCACAATCCATTTTAGTATATATATATGTATTTATTATATTTATTATACTTGTAGCCCCAACCAATTTATATTGTTTTTTATATGGTAAAACAGGCTAGACAAATATAGATTATCTCATATGTTTCATTAAATAACATGTTATGTTAAGCGAGCAACATAAGAGGAAAAAATGCGGTGTAACAGTCTCGCTTATCAGAAAATAACAGAAACATGTTAGGCACATTCTAGAGAATTACAAGATGAAAACCACTTCCACAGAAAAGGCTCCCAAATAAATAGAAAGCAGCAAGTTACCCTCTTAGCTCATATCCTATAGCATTATGCAGAAAAATGCTAAGGGCAAAGAAGAGAAAAAATTAAATCAAACAACGATGCTGTTGCTGTGATGTTGTCATATAAAAGTTGGTGGGGCAATTGAGCCAATATGGGTGCCCTCATCAGCTGATGCCGACGCTGCTAAAGTCCACCGTGCATGTTGTAGAAAGCATGGTGGTCAAGCATGCATCTCATTTCCCCAAAAGTCCATCCCGCCATCTATAGACCTCTGTGAGAACGCTGGCACAATGTCCACCGACCCTTGTGAGTAGAGTGAGTTCCCAGGAAAGTTCTTGTGGAGGGGGGATTCCCCAGGTGTGTGGAAAGCTGGCAAAGCCCTTTCAGGGTTCCCGGCCCTGAAAGCAAAGAACGGTCTGTGGGGTTGTCGAGGCCTGTCTGCACATCTGGTGTGTTGCTCTGAGGTGCCCTTTGCTGGAGACATGCCCAGAATTGCTCACAGACGAGGTTGAATTATGCATTAAAGGCCTCCCTCAAGCTATCCAGCGGATTTGCTACTTACTCCCGTAGAAACATGAAGCCAGCCGCCATTTTTAGGCCAAGTTGTCAGCACGTTATGTGAGTAGAGTGAGCCAGAGTTAGGGAGAGTGTGGGGAGGAGGTTGTTTTAGCGATCGCTTAGCTTTTTTCTCATTATCATTTGGTGCATTAAGTCTGTGAATATGTAATCTGTATAAAGTGATGCTTTCTATGTGATGCTATGTTTGCATATATTGTCTTGCTGTATTGAACTATAAAAGGCATACTTTTCTATATACTGATTGTTATGATCCATTTTTTGTCAATGTGGATAACTGTTTGGCATATGCCTGTGTTATGATTGTTTTAAGAAATATTACTGGTTTTATATTTGTGCTCTCCTATATT